GGGTTGAAAGTTGATTATTTTGACAATTTTCATACACTATAATTCAAATAAAATTCAATAAAAAAATTATTTTCAAGCGGGTGGAGGTGGGGGATCGAAAGAGGGTGGTCACTTGAACAAAACCCGATAACCTAACCTAACCCAATCTATTGATAAAGATATTTAAATTTATATAACTCTCAATATTTTTATGTATTTTCCATTAGTGTTACCTTTGAATATTGTATAAAAATGACTAGGTATATAAATATTTACATGCCTAGAAATGTATAAAAATTGGCATGTTTATTAACTTTGAACCCCCATTATTTCTTATGGGGGTGAGACCGCCACGAACTTTTTATGGTACAGTGGTGGGGGAGACCTCCTCTTTCGATCCCCCATCCTCACCCCCCAAAGGGAGGGAGCCATCATCTAGACCTTTACCAAAATTTGTTTTATGTCGTCGATTATTTTTGACACGTATTTAGAACATCAACATTAGTGAAGCGGCGGGTAAAAGTTAGTACCAATATAAAGAACAAGCAGAATAGCTCAAAACCCCAACGCCAAAACAAGACACTGTAGTTGGACAACTACAGTGTCTTGTTTGGGGTTTTGAGCTATTCTGTTTGTTCTACAACAACCGCCAAAGTTTTTCCAATCTTCATATTTAACCAATATAAAGGATAAATTGTGAAGGATATGGATATAGAATTAACACTAAAATAAATAACAAAATTTTTAAAAACTGTTATGATGCACACTTTATTATTGCTATAAATAAAAATTTTGCCATGTTGTAACTGAAGAGATTTTGTTAAGATCGCAACGGCACTTCTTCGGGAATTTTTATTATTTCGGACATTTTTATTACTTGTGGTTCTTTCCGCCTCTCGCGTAGAAAATTGTAGAGTGCTAAAATTCCCAATACGAGTCCCAGACAGATCACTATCATACATAAAGCGACACCAAAATCCGGTAACCTTAACAAAATCCTGAATTTGTCGGCCACTTCACCTGACATTGTGAAATTCTGTTGAAACCAGAATATTGGAAACATCAGCTTTGGTACTTTCTGATAAAACCTTCGACACAAAAAAGACACTTCTTAAAATTTCATACACAAATCAACGTAATAATCATAATCATATTTCTACATAAAAAGGCTGCATCAATATTAACTCTATAAAATTGATCCTTAATGAGTTGTACGTAATTTTTTTACCATTAGTCATAATAGGAGAGGCACTAAACAAATATTAGGACTAAAATATTTACGAAAGTTACATATTAGGACTAAAATACAGTGTAAACTCTATATAACGACACTTAAGGGACTGAACATTTTTCGGCGTTATAAAGAATGGTCGTTAAATGGAGAAAAATAAAAGATATTATTTTACTACTCTATAATAATATGCATTCACCAATATAGTACACATTTTGCACACGAACATTATTATTCATACATTGCGTATAGCTTGTTATCTTCGTCTGATGTTTTTTGCTGCTCCAATATTTTAATTGTATTTTGTTACGTATTTTAGTCATATCTTGACATACTGTTGGATCAATTTGATAATATAAAAAGTATGTTTTTAATAGTTTCGCTGCATCAAGTGCTTGTTTGATGCTTGGTGGAGGGACAGGATCGTCTTCTTCAACAACATACATAGCTGCAGTTCTTATCTATTTCGTCAACTTAGAAAGTACTGCTCAATGATTTATAATGCCGCATTGTTGTCGTTATACAGAGTGTAATATTGTATAGAAAACAATGTGAACCAACCAAAGTCAAACAATTTCGACCTTTTAAGGAGTTTGTCGTTAAATCGAGTGACGTTATAAAGAGTTTACACTGTATTTATGAATGTTACAATGTGAGTAAAAATAAACTACTTTTTGTACAACATTCACTCTTTCTACGTAAACCAATATATTTCAACGTACTTTTTGAAGTTTTTACATGGGTATACCTATCATTGGAATTAAGAATTAATTTTACAATTAGAATAATAAAAGGCGCAAGCCCAAGTACAAAACCTTAAGAGAAAGATCAATATTGTTAACCTCTGATAGAATTTAAAAACTTACCATATATTTGGATCAGGTTCCAATAATACGTTTAATTGTATCCTGCCAGCGACATTGGTGATTACGCCCGTTTTCTAAAAATCAACGAAATAAATGTTTATTTAGGCATATAGTTTCAAAATAGTAATTGTTGTTTTACCGGTTCTAAAGTAATTGAAAATTCGTGATCGTCCTTTCGAGGGTTGAGTCCATCGAGAGCTCTTAAATAATAGGAATCGGCCTCATAAAAATGTGGGAGTGAGAAAAAAATTGGACTGTCCTGCCTGCATGCGGTAAGATTCATAACTCCAACGGGTAAACAATCGCCATTACAATAACAGACATTTTCAGGGGCGTATGTGCCTGGTATAAATGTAAAAAAAAATATTACCAGTTCATAAATACGAATTTAAGTAGGTACTAATTACTTATTTATCAAAATTTTCAAATTCTAACTGGTTAAAGACACTAAATCATAAACGTTAACGATCATAAAGTCATAAGTCATCTCTTCAAGGAAGCTGTCACCATCTGAGACAATAAAGGAATTTAAAGATGGAAGATTTATTTTAATAAACATTTTTTGAAAATATTCGGTCATTTAGCTATCCAGAATCCTTAATCCTTATTAATTTATGAGGATCATAATATAGATTTCTGAATGTTATTACACAAACATACCTACAATTTTCAAGTAAATGTGGTGAGAAATTTGATTTTTTGCATGGCATTTTTTGTGTTAGGTTCAACCATAATGGGGGGGTTGAAGAAAAAAAAAGAGAAACCAGACGAAGACAAGTCCCTAAAAGAGGACAGCAAACTCACTAAACTAAAATGATGGCGTCCTCAGGGGTAAATACTCCGGACGTAAACTAGTCCCCCATTCAGATGTCCGGGCGGGGACTACCTCGGGGATGTCATTAATAAGTGCAATAGGGGTAGGTGCAATATTTCACGAGTCGGGGCGTGGATTGTTAGGAGAATGAGGCAAGTAGGGTAATTAGAAAATTTAAAGGTTAAAAATGAAGAGGTATTAGAAAGAATAGGAGAACAGAGAACTCTACGGAAGTCAATGTGAAATAGGCGAGATAGGTTGGTAGGACACCTTCTGAGGCATGAAGGTCTAGTCAGAGACATATTAGAAGCAGAAACGGGAGTTAGGAGGGGTAGAGATAACCTAGACTAGAATACTCTTCGCAAATAGTTAAGGATGTGGGATGTTCTAATTTTAGGAAAAGGCGAAGATTAGCTCAGGATAGGAAGGAGTGGAGGCGCGTATCCAACCAGTCTTAGGACTGATGACCCTACGACCTTATGATGATGACGTTATGACTCTTCGTTTTGCGACTTATATATTTGCATGGATTATTTAAAAGTAAATTGATACGTAGGTACATGTTTGTTTATAAAATATTAGTAAAAGGAATAACTCCCTTAATTTTCAATTTCTAACATCCTAGCGTCCTTACCGTTATCAAAATTTTCGGGTCCCAGATGGTATTTATATCCATTAATCCCATTAATTTCTTCATCCCTTTCGTATGCCAACGAGAACGATCTGCATAGTTCGTAATGGAAGAAATATTGGTTATTCCTCTGCCTATTCATTGCGTACAATTCCGCAGCTGTTCCACGGATTTCTCTACAGCTTCCTTCATAAAATGGATTCGTCGTGTGATAGTTCCAGCTGTAGAGGCGTCCGTAATTTTGATCCTTGCTGACGCCCATGTTGAACACGTTCCCTCCTGAGGATCCGTTCGTCTATAATGTCAGGTTCTATAGAAAATAACACATCAAGAGAAACTGCTCGTTTTCATTAATTTTATCATTTTGACACAAACTCGGCGATCGGAAAACCCAATACGAAGAAGAATATTAAAAGATTTTTACAAAATGTTTTGCTGATATTGATCTTAGCAATCGTTTTTTTGCAAACAAAAAGAACACTTAGGTGGGAGTTTTATGATAAAATAAATTAATCGGCTTAAAATAACTAATCGTAAATATTGAAGTATATTAAACTAATAACTATACTTCGTTTATTTTCTCTAGCGATATGGCCCTTCCAATGTCTTGGATGCGCGCTACCAAAATCGTAGGTAGGGAGAAAAAAGCTCATTATACTCTCGACTCTTGTTCGTTAAACGTACTTTTCCATACAGTACCTGCCAAAAGTTTTGTTCAATCATGAATAGTAGTGCGAGTCGAAAACACGCGTTAAAGCCTTTAATATATCTTCAAATATAAATAAACATCTCGTTGATATTTTCAGTAGTAATTGGTACCAATAACGGCACATTTGAGCAATGCAATTTTAGTGGATAAAATGCTCAATTTTTCCGTGCAGTACTGTACGGATTATGCGCTCCTCACCTGTTAAGAGTTTGGCCGAGAGTTGTCTCCTTTCTTTTTTGGCCTAGTGCTGCTCTTTTCTACTTTGCGCCGGTCAAACTGAAGGTCACATCGCTACAGAAAGTAAACGAAGTATAATATTGTTATAAAGTATTGCATCGTGAGCATCTTTAGTTAAAGGTCAACAAATTGTTTATGTCTTAGAAGACCATGTCACTCTATAAAATGAAAATGTGTATCACGATCATATGACATACAAACAAATGTCATGCTTTGACCCTTGACACAAACCGATTGTTAGCGATGGAAAATTAGTAACTAGAAAAACATGTAGCAGATACTTAAATTGTATAACAGTATTATAGCTGTAACAATTACTCAAACTCGTTTTACAATAATTCAGAAAACTGTCTAACTTTAAATTATAATTATCAAATTAATAAAAATTAACTTACTCCATAGAGCCATCCAAATCTATCAGGCGCTACGGTTCCAGTTAGAAATGGGGGGATGAGATTAAAAGTATCCAATAAAGGATCTTTAAACCCTTCAAACAATAATTCTTTAACAGTTCTTCTTATGTACAAACTGCTTATAGACGACAAGTACAACGAAAATATTTTCTTCTGGAAGAAGTTAGCTTCCTTTAATTTCTTAGATGCCGCCTGAAATAGAAAGGATACCTTTTAATAACTTAATGCTACATTTTACTAAGGAGGATTGCTATTATTAAATATTTTGTATTTAATTCAAAAATCAATTTTTATGACTGGACTTGAGCATACCCAGCTGAAGTTCCATTAGTCGTTGTAATTCGTAATTATTTCTTTTTGAAGTGAAACTTCTTTATCGACGACAGAAAACAGATTTACTATGACATAAAACTGAAGAGTGTAACGTCACGCGTCATAGCGTCACACGTCATGTATGACCCCTAGTGGATATGTCATTAAATGAACAATTGTTTGATGACAGAAAATTTGTAAAAAGGCATATTTGCCTACAGTAATTTTTTATAAATTAAATTGTATTAACTTACGTATGCTACGAAGTTAATAGAAGTGATGACATCGGAAAAATTTCTTGAATTTTCCGTATCCTCGAAATAAGTGGAAACTGAAGAATAAGATACGGTTTCGTTTTCATTGAAAACAACATTTATTTTTTCCTTAAATTCTCTAAAGACGTAAGGCCCTACTTCTTCGAACCTCGGTTTAACATTTGGATTATAAATATCTTCTGGATTAGTCCAGTTAAAGAAATAAATATACATTGGGATCGGTTTAGCAGATTTTGACCAATGTCTTGTTGCTTCTGATGATGGTGCTACAGCAATAAGCTGTTGTACAAGTGTATCAAACATCCAAGATATGTTAACTATAATCATCAATCCAAAAACAATCAAAACTACGCCCAGAAGAAGTATCCAAATGTTCCTCCGAATTGCAGGACATTTTTTCATTTCCATCAGTTCCTGAAACTGAAAAATATCGCTAGAAATTTTTAATTATAACGCGTTTCTTATGCCACTGTTACAAACTCATTTGTAACAATGGCAGCCAATAACCTTTCCTTGTTTGCTCAAAGTGATAAGGCACTAAGAATTGATGCACCTCTTTGTTGTTTTTCATACATATAGCATAAAGCAAATCTACAAACATTTACTTTATTACATTTTATAATTTGTAAGTAAGAAACAAAAAATCGAACTCGAGCGACACAACCCGAAGATTTTGGGTCGCAGTATTTCACCTAGTTATTTTAGTCAAATAATTTTCAATATTTTTGTAGACAAATCAGTAAATAAAGTATTGTGATTGTTGCTAATCATTAAAAAAATATTTGCTTACCTTGAAGCCTTCAAAACAAAAAGAGAAAATAGGATATAGATAATATGTTTTGGTTTTTTAAAAAGAAAGATCAGTTGCTGAAGGTATCGCACAATTTTGATTGTCAGTCATAGATTAAGTTCACCATTGTTAAAGAATTTGCAAGAAAAAATTAACATACAATGATAACTTATACAAGGTCAAGCAAAATTCACTTACGAATATACGTATAAGAAATATATAGTGAATTATTGTTTAAAAAAGGAATTATTTTTATCGCAAACATTGCAAAGATATATTTTATCAATGGATTTATAAAATATCAGGTGATTGGTTTGTCTGTAACATTCAAACTGTTACCGTAAACAATTTCGTTAAAACTTAAGGATGCATCACACTACATGTTATCAATTAACTAAGAATATGTACTTAAATGTGTACTAGTTTGTTCTCTAAAATGACTAATTATCATCAAGAGGCTACTGTTCTCTCTGATTACATTAGGTATAATTTAAGAAAAGGTTATTTAATTTTCCATATTTTTCTTAATGTTCTTAGATTGATTCATACATGTTTTTGTGAATCAAATTAAACGTTATGAATAGTGGTGATATGAAACAAAGTATCGTTGATAATTGATAAGTCTTTCGTCGCCTTAAAAATTTGAATTCAAATTGACACTTTCATATGTGATAAATCCTATCTGAACAACTGTCGTCTGAAATATTCGCTTATCAGTTATTTTATTAGCACAAGATTAATAAAATACAACCTGGACATAATTTTTATGGTGGTTATTAGACAAAGTTAATATTAGAAATAATTTATCAGCTATTTCTTCCATAACCTCATGAAAAAGTCACATTATGGCCGAAAAAGTACCTATTTTGGAGCATTAATACCAAATAAATATAAACTTTCTTAACATAAATGGAAATTAGTTTTATTAACACATATTATTTTATTATGAAGACTAGATACGATGCCTTAAAATCATCACAGGTTCACTGAACTAATAAAGCGATAAATTGTGGATATATAAAATTTTACAAAATTTACATGTATTTACAACGATAGCTTCTTATCAATAACATGTAATAATTATCGAAAGTTGAGAACAAGGATTTATCAAAATGGCAATATTAGCAAAATCTTTTGGAATCTGATAACTTTTTAATAAAACAGAAAGTAGAAAAAAAACTGGGTTATTGTTTATTAATGATAAACTAGAACAATTGTTTGATAAAATAACATGGTAATAATTGTTTTTAAGATTTCAGAAAATTTAAAAATGTATTACTACAATTACAACAGAAAAGTCGTTGTTCTTTTTCACATAAAGTTTTATATATTATTAATTCGAATAAACGAATGAACAGTAAGTACTTACTTTTGTTCTCAATCCCATTAGAAACTTTTAAAAACCACATAAATTTCTATAACAAGTCAATCCACTCTCATGCTAAACACCGAATAAATGTTGTACTGTTGTTAATACACTTACCATCAATAATAGAATGTAAACCTTATAGTTTCCTCATCGTATCACAAAACGAACCCTGCTATCAGTATCTAATCGCGACCTCTGAAACTGTTTATAAACGAGTGCAAATCGCTTCTATCCTACATTTTTGAAAGTTAAAGTAAACAAAAGAGGTCTTGTGTATATAATATTTGGTTTAATTTACTAATGTTATGATTAACTTGAATTTGTCTAAAACCATAATAATAAGAAAGCAAGGAAAGAAAATTTGCGCGATAAAAAGTTGCAACAGAGAATTTTCAACAACGTTGGCGCTGGCGATAAGAAAATTGCAGACTGAAGGACTGATAAAAATTGTTATTTATCTTTTTATCTTGTTCATTTTACGTAATACTTTTAAACTAAATTTACGAAGAAAACAGGACATTTAATCGTAAATGCAATACATAAAACGATATCGTTCAAAAAATTATTCCAGTTTTATTTATAATTGAATGTACTTTAAAACAATAAAACACAAAATTTTAGACGGTCCACTTCTTATTTAATTCGTATATACTTATGGAATGATACATACAATTTAGACATCTTTTTAGAAGTGAGTTAGTTTAATATGAAAATGCATTTCTGAATCTTTAACCCCTACAAACTACTTCAAATTAATGGAAAAAAAAATTGTTGCTGTTGTCACATCCCCGCCGGGAATCGAACCCGGGACCTACTGTTGTCACCTCTCGTAGTTTAGTGGCCAGAACATTGGTGCGTAAAGCCAAAGGTCCCGCGTTCGATTCCCGACGAGGGTGTGACAACAGCAACAATTTTTCCTTCATTAATTTGAAGTAGTTTGTAGGGGGTAAAAATTCAGAATGAATTTTCAGAATAATATGGCATATTATGGGATGAAGTTTGGAAAGCTGATAATGACACAGTAAATTATTGATATATAGTAACAAGAACTTATTGGATGTACGTATACTAGGGTGGTCGTTAAAAATTAAATTCTTTCGGACGCTCAAAAAAATCCTTTCTTTTGACGAAAAAACACGGGAAAAATTTTGCTTTTTGATTTTTAACAAGAATAACACGTGCCGACGGCCAATTGGATTTCATTTTTCGATAAAATTATAGTTTTTCGTTTTGAAAATAAATAAATAATATTGAATATAACTTGGTGGTCATTAAATAAATCTCTATAAATAAATAATTGTATATAAAATTTACAAAATTGTTCATATTTCAGGAAAAATAAAGTTGTTAGTTAGACTTAATAAAGTTTATAAGTTTACCAATGAGATTATTTTGACGGATATAAACTTCATCTAAAATCAAAAAAACCCTTTTGTAGAGAATTTAATTTCCTATCCTGTTTTCATGATTTTTTATCCAAATTCAATATTTCAAAAAACTATAATTTTATTGAAAAATGAACTTCAATTGACCGTCGGCACGTGCTCTTTTTGTTAAAAATCAAGAAGCAAAATTTTTCCCGTAGTTTTTGGTCAAAAGGAAGGATTTTTTTTGCGTCCGAAAGAATTTAATTTTTAACGATCACCCTAATGTATATGAATATGTACTATGTTGATCATTGTAATGTTCGTTTGTTTAATTATCCTGGATGATCTCTGCAATTATAAATGAAATTTTGGTGTTGTCTTTTTCTTCAGTTAGTTTGGTTAGATTAGAAAAGTAAGTTTGTGGCAGGAAAAGATAATATGAACGTAGTAAGTGTTATTGTGGACATGTCCATTCTTTTTCTCACAGGAATTTTTTGTTTAAAAAAATTGCTTTTAGCAAATATGACCCTGATTTTCACGGGACTAACTGTTGAACCATCTTCAGGGCTAATTCCCGAACAATAAACAATTGAATTGGAAAACTTTTGCATATTTGTTTGGCTATTTAAGCGTTATTAGGTTATTACGCTGACAGATTCTACCATTCTACATACATATGTGTAATTTCCCATGTTAAATTCCAGCGCAAGCAAATGCTTATCGGTTAGCCGCAGATAACAGAATTGATGAATTAACATATGTAGAGAAACATCCAGTTGGCGTTAGTACCGATACTAGACAGTAGAGAAACGCTGGATTACGTCTTGACTTGAAATTGAGCGATAAGTTATCCCTGACTTCTGGCCCGGTCAAAAATGAATAAAAATGTCACGCACACTTAATGTATTATCTATTTGTAACAGTCAAATTAATGGGGATTGCGTTTTTAGAACGAGTCCTTCAGTACCCACCCTACAAGGACGAGCAGATAAACCTAAGTTTGATGTTTCTGTTTATGCAAGAGTTTGCCTGTATCTGAATCAAAAACTGCAGGATTTCTATTCAACATATCTCATTTCAAATCCTATAATTCCGCAAATGTTATTAAGTACGGTAACGTCTGTTTTATATGATATCAAGAGGAAATCATAATAGAATTATTATACATAAGTAGATACGAAATAGTAGAGGTGGCCCGGGTGCCCGGTTTGGATCCGGTCCTTTTTTGTAGGATCCGACCGGGTAGCGGATGATGTCGTCAGGTACGCGACACTGTCAGACAAAGAACAAAAAATAAATACCAGCGATAACAATTTAATAAGTATAACAAAAGTATAAGTATAAGAAAAGAAGAAAAAAATTGTTAAAGGTGTATGTTTGGAGCACGGCGTTGTACGGGTGCGTAACATGGACAGTGGGCGCAGCGGTAAAGAAAAAGTTAGAAGCGTTCGAAATGTGGTGTTATAGGCGGATGATGAGGGTAACGTGGGTAGAAAAGATTAGAAATGAAGAGGTTTCAGAAAGAATAGGAGAAGCAGAGGACTCTATGGCAGACAATAAAAAATAGGCGAGATAGGTTGGTAGGACACCTTCTCAGGCATGAAGGTCTAGTCAGAGACATATTAGAGGCAGAAACAGGAGTTAGGAGGGGTAGAGGTAGACCTAGATTAGATTACTGTTCGCAAATAGTTAAGGATGTGGGTTGTTCTAGTTTTAGGGAAATGCGAAGTTTAGCTCAGGATAGGAAAGGGTGGAGGTACGTGTCCAACCAGTCTTAGTACTGACGACTTTATGATGATGATGATGATTACTATATATTTTTTGTTTTTGTTTATTTTTCCTCAGTATAGATCAGTATATATGACCGAACTATTACAATTTCTGTCGCTTGTTGGTATATGAGTTTTTGATTAACGATAACTTATTAGTATGGTTTTGTAAATTTTAAGACTGCTATTACAGACTCGTTTCAACGATTTCAACTCAATTTTAAAATTTCATTGGTTTGGAGTTCGAACGGCTTTTTAAAAGGGACTTAATCTGGTTTGGGACGTTGGTGATGGTGGTATTTAATAGAAAGTCGGTCAGAACTATTAACTGTAGTGGTTTTGCCGGGTACTCGGCACAGCTAAGGCTGGGTACACGGTTATCCGGCGCATCTTTACTAAATAGATATTAAAGCTAAAGAAGTACCAAAATGTACTGGTTTTTGATGTTTAGGCACACGAAGTAGCTTTAAAAATGTAAAAAGGATCATTTTATATGTAAAAAATAACTTTATTGAAAACATAAATATAATAATAATAACATTTTATACACAAAAAACGACATTATAAAATGTAAAAATGACAACGACAGTCACGAAATGAAGTAGTGGAATGAAAAGTGATGTTGTCGGAAGCTTATTTAGCGTTCATTTTCAGTGGTATTTCTTCCTTAGACAAAACTTTCTTACATTCGGATTGTTTTCCGCAAACAACTATTCCTAGAGATTTCTTTACTATTAATATCACACACACTAGACTTAACGTTATAAAGAATGTTCCTAAACTTAGGAATATGTAAGGCAAATTTAAAAGCACTTTCACCAAAAATATCAAGTTGTCTGGCATAGAAACGTTCTGTTCAAACCATAGCACTGGGAAAAATAATTTGGGAGCATCTTGGAGTAAACTGAAAAAACAGTTAGTAAAAATTATTAGGAATATCTCCAAGTGGTAGAAACTGGTGTCCGATATCCACAAAAGTGTTTGTAATAATCAGTGTCTTTTAATTAGAAATATTTAGTAATATAAATATAATTATCTAATGTATAATATATACAATTAAAAACTTACCCAATGTATGAAATTGGTTCCACTAATAAATTAAGTTGTAGTCTAGCAGATACTCGAAGGGGTAAACCAGTATCCTAAAAAGAAAATCGTGAATACTAATCTAGAAATGGTTTGCTATTTTATTTTAAAATTATCCGCAAAATCGAAATTATAATAAACATACAAAAATTATTAAAAATACGATGATGATTTCATAGAATATTTAATTTAAAGCATTCATTCAGCAATTTGTAAAGAACACATTTGAGTTACACCCATAGAAGTTGCTCAATTTTAAACAACAAATATTGACATAAATATTAAATATTAGATAGTTATTTGAATGATTTTACTCTTACATGCATACACGGAATGCATCAAGTTATAGTCAATAACAAACTTTATCAAGAGAACCCAAAAAGATAAGAAATGCCTACTTTTACAAGTTTTTATACGTAGAGAACCATGAAGAAATGCAAAGATCAAATATTAGCTTTTAATATTGTAGTTAGCAGTTTATCATCATGCATCGTGCAAATAAATAAATACATATCGTTTTTAGAAGCGCACAAACAATAGATATTAGATATAACTAATGTAAATTTAACACATAATATCCAACTCATAAATAATCACATATAAACAGCGTTATTTTTATGGATTAGGGATGCATTTTTTAGCGAGGAAGGACATTCATTTTCCAACACGGATTATCATAAAGTAATAGTTTGTCGAACAATATTAATAGTTAGAAGAGGGAAGGGCTGTTGTTTAATTTAAGATTTAAATTTCTAGCAAAGGGTCAAGCATAAAATTACAAAAATTGTATATCAGCAAATAAACACGAATGAAATGGAAAGTTTCTGATTTACTCTAATATATATAAAAATTTTAGATAATTTTGTCTGCCAATGATAC